CACACAGTCCAGTAAATCTGATTGTCCCCTACCTCCACCTGGCTGGAGGCAGGGCCCCTCTAATGGTCGTCACAGCGTTGGACACTTAAGTCGTGGTGAAAGGGCTTATTCTTCGTTATCACAGGAGCTGGAGTAAAATCAGCTCTTCCATTCCATCTGGGAAACTGCTGACCAGAGACTGAAGCCGTAGCTCTCATGGGATGATCAGTCTTGGCCCTTGCTCCCCTCTTCAGTTCACTCACCCGTTCCTCCAAAGCTGAAGTAGGTTTTCCATCCCACTTTGTCATGTCTTCTCCGTGATCCAGCAGGTAAAACCATAGGGTACCCCGTGGCGTATACCTCCTGTGTCTCCTCTCTTGAACAATAGGATGCCTTTTGTTAATAGCTGAGACGTGTGTTGGTACACGTGAGGAGCTGGATAAATCAGATAGATTGTCCCTCAATTGTTCGAGGTCCTGGGACAGTTTTTTCACAGCTGAGATGATGGAAGGGGTGAGGTTGTCTTCGAACTCTCGGAGTTTATGAACCATTTCATCCACTGTTAGTGGTACTATGTCATTCCAGGTTACTGTTGCCAATGAATGGGCATATGATGATGGTGCATTCCGTGTAAGTTTTCACCACATGGGTCATGTACATTCAACTTCATCTGGATCTATGGGTGTATCCCCGTTATTCGGCTTGATGTGATAGATCATCTCTACGATGGCCGATTCCCTCAGAGACTGGATGCCTTTGTCTATAGTAGTCCACTTGGCCGAACGACTCGTAACATCGTCCTTGTACGGAAACCTTTCTTTCACAGCTGCCAAGAGCCACCTCCAAAGGCTGAGGGACTTTTTCTCTCTTGCAATTGCTTTGTCAATTCCCCCTTCTCTAGCAAGTGATCCCAGCTGCTTGGCTTCTGTACCTTCTAGTTCGTGACCATCGGCCCCATTGTCCCAGCATCGGAGTAATCAGGTGATGATGTGCTCCCCTGGTTGATGGGTGAAATCTTTTCACATATTCCGCAGCTCGGTTGAGGTCCGAGGTCGAGAAGTTACCTCTTCTTCTTCTTCTTCGTCATGTGATGATGACTCCTGATCAGATTCTGGACCGGGTGGTGAATTCATTGGTTCTTCATCTTGCTTCACCCTTTTTGCCTCCTTTTTGCTTGTTCTCTTGCGTACAGGGGCAACCGATATTGGTACGAATTGGTCCTCTGGTTTGGCTGCAGTGATTATCACTGTGGTTTGAGTAGCAACTGTACTTGTTGCTGGGGGTGGTGCAGCTGCTGTGCTTGGAGCTGGGGTAACAGTGCTGTCTGTTGCAGTTGGAGCAGCTGCTGTACTTGCCGCTGGGGTAGCTGTGCTGTTCATTGCAGCCAAAGTTTGAGTAGCGACTGTTGCTTTGCCCTCAGATCCGCCAACATTCTTTTCCTTTTGAAGGTGCTGGATAGTATTGAACAAGGCCCTGTAAGCGTAGGCCAAGCCCCAGCACGTTGCCCTGATTTGTCCATCTCTGGTATGGCCAGAATGACCACACACCTCATTTAAGTGTTTTACTAATTCTTCTGGATTTTGCAGTTGTTCGGTAGTGAAATTCCAAAGTACTGGAGGGGCCCACTGACCTAGATACTTGCCCATACTGTCCCACACACCCTGCCACTCATGGCTGTCCAGCCTCAGGGAAAATCTCTCGGTCCTCCTACATCGTCGTTTGACCCCAGACAAGACCCAAACCTGACTCTGCTTAACTCTTGAAATCAGTAGTAGGCAAAACATACTCTGTATGCGTGTTAGCATGATGATTCCCATCACCATCAGCAAACAAGTCTCAACAGCATTAAAAGGCCATTCAAAAAATTCAAAACTCTCAAATGTAAATGGTCTGGGGGGACAACTGGGAGGGTAAAAGGATGTCTCCTTCATAGGTTGAGCACCTGAGAAGGAGAAAAAAGGTGTGTAATTGCTAAGCACCTCCATCATATACCTCCCAAAGTATAAAGGTGGTGACCACACTGGGAACATAAGCCAGATCAGTTTCATGATCAATGATTCTATTGTATTACAAGTCATTACCATAAAGTACAATGGGACAAAAACCTTAGCCCAAGCCCCACACTTGAAAAACACTAATACAGCAAATACCGGATGGAAGTAAGATACTATATACTGAAACTGTGAGATCAAGAGGAACAACCTCGAGAGCCAATAAATCAACATTGTGACAAGTGACTATCAATCCAGTCAGATCTGTTCTTATCTCAGCCCCTCGTGCCCCACGTTGGGCGCCAAAAAGAACTGTCGTGGTTTAAACCCCGTCAGGTAACTTGTTCACTCACTCCCAGTGAGTGGTGCCGAGCGGACAACAATCGAGGTCCGTCCCCCCCCCCGCACCGGGGCTCTCCCCTTCCCCGCTCCCGGAGGAACGGCCATGACGTGCTGTGGTATGGAATACCTCCCTGGCTAGCCCGGGTCAGGCGCCCCATCTCTGCTTCCTCACAGCTTCCCCTCCTCCCTGGCAGAGCATGATCCTCACAAAGTCCTTGGTCAGGGTAAACATCACTTAGCAACAACTGAAAACATCGGCTTCACCAACACTGTTCTCAGGCTGGAAGTCAAAACACAGCACTGCACCAGCTACCACAAAGGAAAAAACATGACTGCTACTGGTGAACCCAGGGCACCTGCTGAAGCCTCACCTGGAGTATTGCGTTCAGTTACGTGCTTCGCAGTTCAAGAAAGACAAAGAGCAACTGGAGAGGGTCCAGTGGAGGGTTATGCATTAGGGAACGGGAGCGTCTTTCTTAAGAGGAAAGGCTAGGGAGCTCGGCCTCTTGAGCCTGGAGGAGACTGAGAGAGGATCTGATCAATACATACAAATATCTTAAGCGTGGGTGTCAAGAGGATGGGACCACACTCTTTTCAGTGATCCCCAGCAGCAGGATGTACAGGGCAATAGGCACAAACAGAAACACAGGAAGTTCCAACTGAACATAAGGAAGAACTTTACTTTGAAGGTGGCAGAGCACTGGAACAGGTTGCCCAGGGAGGTTGTGGACTCTCTGGATATATTCAAAACCCACCTGGATGCATTCCTGCGTAACCTGCTCTAGGTGAACCTGCTTTGTCAGGTGGGAGGTGGCGGTGGGAGTGGACTAGATGATCTTCAGATGTCCCTTCCAACTCCAACCATTCTGTGATTCTGTGCTTCTGTGTTCTCCACAGCACTAAAAAAAAAGCTCCCTGATGAGCTGGAAAACCAGGCATGTGTTTCCCATTCACTTTCCTTATTTTGTATTTGAGCCCTGTGATTAACAGAAGCCATGGCAACCATTTTTATACGACCAATATATCTTATAGGTGTTTCTAAAGGTGTTACAGATAGTTATAAATAACATACTTTGTTCTCAAATTCCTTATGTCTCTGATGTTTGAATAATAAATAATTACTATAATAATGGAGTAAGTATAATAATAAAATAATGAATCTTTCATATTAATATTTTATGTTATCTTCATAATTTGATGTATGATGGTATAAATTGTGATAAAGTAAACCTGACTTCTAGAATGAATCTCAGACTCACACTTAGACAAGTGTATGTATGCATGCACATACTTGCATACTGCACGTTGAGGACAAGAGGTGGGTCTGATAGGCCTCTATGTGCGTAAACAGGGTTTTTTAGGTTGTCATTGTTTGGCAGCTCTGAACAGCCTTGGACTCAGGTAAGTTGGTGAATGCTTGGTTGGTAGGGCTTGGGAGACTGGTGGAGATGGTGGTCTTTACTGACATACAGGTTTTCTGCTTGCATGCATAAAATGTGTTTTAATTGTACAGATTCTAAAAGAAACAGACTGAAAGCCACAGTTAAAGGCAGTATGCACACTTACATGCTGTCATGGTTTAAGCCCAGCTGGTAACATGGCACTGCACTAGCTACCAAGAAGGAGAAAAATAACTATTACAGCTGAACCCAGGACACATGCAAAAACATTTCCTAAAGATGAGATGAGCAACAACAAAATCATGTCCTCAGCTCATACAAATCTAGGTAGCATGAGTGACTTCACTACTAATACCATTGAAACATCTGGGCTGTAAAAAGGGGTTTGAAGCTCAATTTACAGCAAAGCACACCTTAATGGAATGCTGGGGTGCAAGAGAGAAATTGATTGCCTTTTTTCTATCCACCGACTGATCAGAATTGAATCAGTGGTATAAACAATTTATTCGTTTTTTAAAAGCCAAACATGCAGTATAAAAGAGAATATCTAATATACCGTAAGTGGGAGGGGGGAAGAAGGACAGAAAAAGGAAAAAATGAAACCATCCCTGGTGGACGATGTAACTCCATTGCACTGCCCGTATTTACACCAGTGTATTTCAGATCAGGATTTACTTCTTGTACTGGATATTGAATTTATCTCCCACAGCTTTTGTTTCTGTTCACTTCCTAAGCTGCATGCTATTGTGCCTCTTTCTTCTTTTAATAATTTGCTTCACAGTAGTACTTTAGAGGCATAGTGACTAAAATGAGAGAAAGAAGAGAGTACAGAATTCATAATTGAAGCATATTTTTCCTCTCACCTCTGATATTTTCATGCTGTTTGTGTTACCACAAATGTAACTCAGCCTAATTTTGATAACAATGATGCCTGTTTAATCAAAGAACAGGGGATTCTCCTTTGAAACAAGATTTCAATGTAATTTTCACGTTACTTGTCCTTTTCTGTGCCTGCTAAGTTTGTGACACTTTAATTGCTAGCAAATGGAGGACAAGTGGAATGTTTTTTGGAGAGTAATCTTTACCTACTTGCTGGATACATTAAATGTTGTTGGCTTCAGTGCTTGTATTTGAAGTGAATCATAGATCAGAGGAACATGTAATTATGTCAGGTGTTATACAGTGATTCAGCCATGGGAAACTCTTGCCTGAGTGAGGAGTTAAGACAGTTTTATAATTATTTTTTCCAGCACATTAATTGCATTTTTTTAAAACTGTCTCCAATTAGATGTTTACCCAACTACTGTGAACATGGGGGAAAATGCTCTCAGTCCTGGACCACCTTTTACTGCGATTGTAATGATACAGGCTACATGGGAGAAACCTGTCATAATTGTAAGTAAACCCACACATACAGTGTTTTCTACTACAGCTGGTATGTCAAGTTGCACATAAACTAGAGCTTTGTAAGATATCATATATCATATCATAGGATGTAGCATGTCCTGACATGATTCAAACCAGTCAATAACTGTGTTGGGAATGCACAGAAATCCATTTGCATTTTTTGAAGAAAAGAACCAGATTATTTTAAGTAATTTTCAACAATTTTTTCTCTCATTGATTTGGAGAATCTTAAATTCATTAATATTACATGTACATGGTAGACACATTACTCATAAGACATTTAGGTGGGCTTAGCTGTATTTGGGTTCTACATCAATTTTGGCACCATGGGCTCCTTTGCTTTTAGATTATCCAAAAGTTCCAGTTTTCAACAACTCATGATTTTGGAATTTTGCTGATACAGAATCTGAAACAGTGGCAGTACATGAAGCATGCAGCTACTGAAACCCACAGCAAAAGGAATACAATGTTTTAAGGGTTTAAAAGCAACAAATATCAAACGGTAGAAGCACAGCATGCTGTGAATTTTAATAAAAAACAGAGAGAGAAAGAGGAAGCCAAAATAAAACCTGTTCATACAGCTGACTAAAATGGAAAACAGTTAGCAAATGAAGTTAAACTTACTGTTCTGTCACTGGAAATAAAAAGAAAAATAGAGTGAGCAAGAACAATTCCAGGAATACAACTACACCCACGCCAGGTGTTTGATGAGCACTCAGACCACAGATAGGAAAAGATTAGTGAGAAATCCATTTTTTGCCCTGCTAAGCTAAAAAGCAGAAGAGAAGAAAAGGTACTTAGTGGTTTGAAGCTGAGAATATTGGCAACCACACTGTAATTCTGAAGACTTTAATGGTTTACTAATTAACAGTGAAATCATTTGTGGTGTGGGGTCTGCAGCTGACAGGGGAGGCTGTTGAGAGGTCTGTTCATAGATCTGTCACCTGAACCCTACATTGTAAGAACAAAGGAAGCTAAAAGTTTAGTGCTGAATTCATGCCAAGCCACACACAAGATGGGAATTAAAATGCTGAGTTCATAGTTTTGAAAAGACAGTTTAACTTTTTGTCTAATGCTTTTGTTGCTGCAAAGGCATCACCGTTCTTCAAAATCCCCAACCCAGACTGCGTGCAGTGATTGAGGCATAGCAGTGTATTTACACCAGCTGATGTTTTTGATACAAAACTAGATGGCCAAATAGGCTGGTGAGAAGGGGAAGGCTCCTTGGGGAAGGAAGAGACCTGTGGCTGTTAACTGTCAAAGGTGATTAGGGACACTAGACTCTAAGCTATACCTGCGTTGTATTAGCTCAGGGCCTGAGGCTCATTATATCTGTGCCAGCTCAGTGTGTCTGGTGCTCCAAGGAGGAGTATCTCATTACTGCAGAGGATTGGTTCATGACCAGTTTTCCTCATAGACATTTGCATGGAGCTAGTCCGTCCTCCCGGTTCTGTGAACTTGCGTCTGCGCTCTCAAAGGCACATACACAGCTATAGATATTTAAGGTTCACTGATGTGTAAAAACTATTCCGAAAAGTTTCTTAGGAAGATCTTGTGTTAAGATTTTCCAGCAGATCAAGCTGTGCATGCATGCACAGCTATTCAGCTGCTCAGTTTATTTACAAACATATTATCAGCATCTAATTTGATTCCAGCTAGATTGTAGAGCCAGATGCCCTGTAAGCCAAGCGATGCTGATAACCAGCAACATTAGTCTGGAGAGACGCATTCATGTGCTTGAAATGTGCAGTGAAGCCATTTCAAAGCCAGTGGGTAAATGCAGACTGTCAATTAGAAACCTGCAGAACAGGAGATGTAATCACTTTCAGATGATAGTGACTGATGTACAGAAGTACCTTGTAGCAGGTGGATGAAAGCTGCAGATCTGATCACAGCATAACTCTTGAATATCCTTAGTGTACAGGCAACTCTTCCAATCATGAAATTGTAATTCCATGTAGTTCTATCAAAGTAAAACATCTAATTTCTTAAGGTCTGAAACATTATCTCAACAGATTTTGATTTTTGCTAGAAGACTGAGGCTGACAAGCCTGAAATTGAACTTGTATTACTTTGGAGAAGCTATTTCTTTTATTAAACTGCCCTTCAGACACAAGTCCATACGGCAACAGTGGAAAGATTTAACTGGCAATCTGCTGCAAGTCACACATAGTGTGAATAGTTTCAGTGTCATGGATTTTGTTTCTGTGTTGCATTAGTGTTGGTTTTGCCTCTTGGTGTTTGTAAGAGGTGGGTGTCACTGGTTGAACAACATAAAAGACCCAATCTTTGTCATTCTTTCGTGAAGAACTGCAGGACATGCATTTGCAAATAAGAATTAATTGTTTTATGTTTTACCAGCTTAGACTGAGAGACCTTACCATTTAAAGAACTGAAATCTGAAGAGACATTGTCCTTACCTTACTATCATCTGTAATATGTTAAAGTGCATTTTGAGGTTGATACATAAGCAGTCTTACTGGTTTCTTCGCAAATATTCATGGACCACACTGAATCCCACTGTGAAGAACAGGTAACAATATAGACTATCAGCTCTCCAGAGAGTTTGTAGTTAAATTTTTGAGGGAAAAAAACATGCTAGTGCAGGTGATGGAGAGACAGAAAGTCTTCATTATAATCACAGGTGGCATTTTCAGTCTACCGGGTACATAATTATTGATAGGTTTTCTTGTAGGCAAAAAGTCATAGAGTAGAGATTAAAAAGAGGAAGAAATTGAATGTTTGCAGGTATGAAAGAGTGACATAAGAGAAAGCAATAATGTGCTGGTTTGACAAATGTAAGGCTATGGCCAGAGGAGTTTGACATTTTTGACAGGGCAAATGCCAGTCATGACAGGTAGATAGGTTGGAAATATGCCATGAGAAACAAAGATAAATAGTTTGCATTTAGTGCAACAGAGGGGAAATAGGGCAGAATAGTAAGTTGATAGAAGGCATAGCTGAGGTGTTTGCATGACCATGTCAGATATGTGGGACAAGATTGTCTGTCATGAACAAAAGTGGGTATAGTTGAAATTCAAGACATGCAAGTGAAGCAAAAGTGCACATCTCAAGACACATACGAAGAAATAGCTGAGTCTAGACATGGCCTTAATATAATCTTCCTAAAGGCAGTTGATTTTCTGCAAACCTCAGGTATTTTCCTGTTCATTCAAAATCCCTTCCTGTCCTGAAAGGTCTTAAACTGTTACAGGGGTTGTGACTATCTACATGATCCAAATGAGGTTCCATCACTGAAAAGGTGTAGGCTCATGTCCTATTAAATAGCTATTCTGTGGCAGACAAGTTTCATGAACTGCAGTCTCATCTGGTTCTGCTTATGTTCTCTTCCTCTTCTCTGAGTTTAGCTGTAAATACAGGTAGAATACTGGTAAAACCCACTGGTGTTTTCTGGGTTTCAGTAACATATGGGAAGAGTCTGAATGTTTTCTAGACAGGTTGTTTCTTGCTTGCAAAGCTTATTGCCTGATGCATAAGTCCATTTCTCTGATGACAGGTGATCCTCCTTTGCAAGCTGCCACATGTGCAATATTATCAGTACCTTCCAAGTCTTTTTTTGTTTTGTTTTTGTTTGTTTTGGCCTTTGGTATGTTTTGTGTTTTGTTTTTTTGGTGTTTTTTTCTTCCAATGTGGAATGAGGATTTGAATTTAACTCTCATCATTCCAGCTTCCAGTGCAATTCACATCTTGCTGGCTAGTCACAGTCCTGATTAGCAATTGTGCTTTCATCACTCTACTAACTGTAGCTGTGAAACTCCATAACATATGCTAGTGCCTTGCACTTCCATTTGATGAAAATATAGAATGTGTGCTCACTGTCTCTGGGTGGGGTGTTCACTGCCCACAGTTTGGGAAAACAAGGAGTCATGAAATAACCCGGTAGGATATTAAGTCAATGGTAGGTGAGTTGCTTTTGCTAATGTATGGGTTTTGTTGTGCCTTAGTTTCTCCACCTCTGTTGGGAAAAGGATCCAATTTGCAGGTATATTGTATGTGATCTATATTGTGTACTGAAACAGTATGGATTCTTTCCTTTAAAACTATTATTTGCTTACCACTACTTGAGCTGCTCTGTAGCTGAGACAGTGCTTTGAGGACACAATATTATTTCAATTCTGTCAAATGCATGGGTTTGATTTTGGTTTATCTTTTAAATGTGCTTCACACAGCTTGCATTTATATGAGTTGAAAGATTAGCTCAGCTGAAGCCCTTTTAACAATCAATACTTTTCCCATTTCTACAGTGTGGTGGGTAGTTTACTGATCCATCAGGTATTGCAGTAGTCGGGTCTAATCCAGAGAGATAAGAGAGCATCTTTTATGTGATCACCTGTGTGAACCATAGCAAAATAGATAATAATGTAGTGTTTGTTTTCTGTTTTCCTCTTTTAGATAGAAGCACTGATGTTAGTACACAACTTGGGAAAAAGGCCTGGGTGGGATTCAGCTCATCTGTTTTTGCTGCCTGATACTGTGACATCTAATCTAAGATAGTGGTGTGCTTGCTTTCTGTGCATAACAGAGTGTGAGCTGTTTTCAGAACTTGAGTAATATCACTGTGAGATAGGTTGTCCGAGGTAAGTTCGTGGGCCACCTCTGAAACATACCAGTGTCTGTCATCTATAGAGGGAAGTTGTCTTAGCTTAGATATACAATAGGGAACTGAAGCTAGATCAGAATTATAGGGTGGGAGAGAGAGAGAGAGAGTGAGAAACAGAGGGAAACAAAAGTTACAGGTGTATATATATACAAAATATTTTAAATTGGAAGGTCATAGTTTAAAACCTGCATAGTCATCTCTCTCATACTATTAATTCTCCTTACACTCACCAGTGTAAAATGGCCCTGAGATACAGAATGCTATAACTTTATTGCAAGGCAATGGTTAGTAATCTCCTCTTTCTATGAGTTATGTTAGTCTCTTAGAAAGCCTCATCTTTCCCTTCTGTATTTCTATTATTTTTATA